ACACAAGATGGCGGTAAACACGATTAACTGTATGACTGACCACAACCTAAGCAAACATTACATCAACAAGACATCAATCAACAAGTTCATTAACAAAGTTAAGACTTCTGCTGCTTAGCTATGCTGTGCTGTGCTATGCTATGCTGGGAGAGGTTAGGCCCAGTCAGTTAACGTTACCCAGTCCTTGGAACAAACAAAGAGGCCCTTTCCAGTGTTGTAAAGTCCAGTGAGTTGGGTGGCTTCCTGGTGGAGTGAAGTCCTGTCTGGCTGTGTTGTTTTGCTGTTATCTCCTTTGTTCTCCTCAAAGAGTTAGCTGTTCCACGCTTACTCTGCTGTGACTCCTGTTGCTTGGAAAATCAGCTGGTTGGCCTTGTGTTGTAGCTGCTGATTCTGAAGAGAACCTGGTTAACTCTGTTAATCCGAAGCAGGTCGCTGCTGTTGAGGAGAAGAGCGTTTGCAGGCTGCTGTGAGCAGGCCAGCGAGAGAGCTGGTTTGTCAGTTAGCAGGGCTGACCTGGGCTGGGGCCTTGTTGCCCTTTTGAAGAGTCGAGAGGAGAGAACAGGAGCTGCTCTCCAGAGCAAGCCAAGAAGAGAAGAAAGAGAGAAGAGGGACAAGAGATCTGGTTTTGTTTGATGACACCCTAGGGGGTCACATGTCACATGCTGACCCACACTGGCTGGCCAGTGAACAGTGAGGAACTGTGGAGTGTGAGTTCCTTTGTCCAGTGGAGCAAAGAAACATCTGGTCTCTTGAATGATGAGTCCCAACTAACAGAAACATGTTGTTTTTGGTGGTGGTGGACTAGAGGTCAGGCCTGTAAGCAAGCCAGTGATCGATGTGACACTTTGTGTCAGCCCTGGCAGAGGGTGAGTCGCCCTCTAGTGGTGGGTCAGTGAATTGCCTGTCCAAAGCACCAGAGAGTGTAGCAGGGACTGACACAGGGGAGGGTAGTAAAGAGCGGACAGACTTGAAGGTGCGCAAGTGCATTCCACAGGTGGGGACTGATGCAGGTGGCATTGGCAGACTTATGCAGTTGTGGAGAAAGCGAACAGGTCTGTGTGTGGTACTGCTGACTGGACTGGCTGTTTTTGCAGTTATCCAGTATGGCATGGGTGTAAAGGTGAATGGGGAGTTCGTCATGCTGCCCTTCCAGGTGTTGGTACCGCAGTGGCCAGGAGCGACATGATTGACCTTTGCAACAACTTTTCCCTCATTCTCCCTCTCAGCACTGTATGTAGCCTTACTTTTATTTCAGTGTGGTCTGCTGATTGTTCCTTTTGTAGTGCGCCTCTGCCAGTTGCCTTATTATACCATGTGGTGAGTAAACGTTGTGATGTTTTCAGTATTTGATCATAATGTTCATGTAAATGTGATATGTTGCCAGGTGACTCTTTTCTGAACAAACCAGGGGTTTGTTTTTATGGGAGGGGGTGTTACAACCCTAGTGGTCTCTCTCTCTCTTTCTCCAGGGGGAGATGGGCTGCATGCAGCTGCACCCACTTACTAATTAGCGACAGTAGTCATAGTGGACAGTGAGAGCTGAGTCGGGCCCAGTGTATGGCAGCAAAGATCGCTGTGTGCATGTGTCTTACTCCTTGCTGTGAAGAAGGGGGGTTGGTGTCCTGATTACCTGTTTATTTTTGTTCTCTGATTCCTGGTTGTTAAGTATTTCTCAGTTATTTGCAAACCAGCGCTTTTAGTTACCTTTTTCAGTGATTTTGTTGTGTGTGAGTTTGATAATAAAAGTCATTAGTTTTTCCCTCATACCTTATTTTGCTTCCTGATCTTCCTTTCCTCCCGGGACACATTTTTACTTTTGTTACTTCCCCTCATCTCCTGGATTACCTTTTGGAGCTATTTCTGATTGGTGAATTACCTTACCCAGTGTTTTCCAGGTGTTACCTTTTTTCAGATAAAGAGATAAAGAAGGGTAGGTAGGCAGCCAGACAGACAGAAAGCATTGTCACCATGGCAACCTCTGACTTCAGGGAGGGGATACACAGCTCAGTCAAATTACCTGATTAGAGAGTCCTAACCCTCTAATATCTGTGGTGTTTATCAACCACTTTACTGACATTGCTATCAAAATCCCGCTACAGACTGCTCCAACACTGAATACAGAAATGATTTACACAACTCTACACTGTTTTCACTGTAAAAATGTTTCAGTCAGTTGGCAGTTAATTTCAGTTTGTCATCCTAACTGACACAGAAACACACATAAATACAGACAAGCAGAGAGGCACACAGACAGATTGAAAGGCACACAAACACACACAACCAAACACACGTACACACACACACACAGAAAGCTGTTTACAAGTTAGTACTCATAGAGGGAGACAACATGACAACATGTTTCAGTTCTCAGCTTTTGCAGTTAATGGAGTTCAGCTTCTCCAGTCCCACATTTTGGCATCTAACTTTTCAAAGCACTGTTCATCGGTTAATGTGAGCTGCTTTTTCAACTATTTTAGTATTGTGTCAGCAATCTCCTTCAGGTACAAGTTTTGATTGTACATTTCTTCTTTCTTTGTTTTTTGTTTTCAACCATTTTGTATATATATATACAGTATGTATATATATATATAATATATATATATTTTTTTTTTTTTTACAGTTTGTGCTGTTTGTTGCACATTAAATTAACTATTCACTTCAGCTATTGCTTCAGTTACTTCAGCAATGCTTCAGCACTTGCTTCAGCTTCTTC